TCGTCTGTAAACCTTTAATTTATACTGAACTACTCGCTGAAATAGGCTCCACGAGGCCCAGTGCCTTGTCTGCCATGGGTATGATGTAGCATCAGCCATGCCTCACCTAGAGCAGGCACTCTCCACTAAAGGAACAGCAATAAAACAAACCCAAACAAGAAATAGACTATGGATATTCCTCAGGAGTCATATAGTCCACCTTCCGATGAGTCTACCCCAATTCACTCATTAGTTTCCTCTCTACTCCCTCTCCCTTTCTTTCTACGCCTCTGTAGCCCAGGCTAGCCTGGACCTCATTACAAAGCCTAGGTTAGCCTCAGACTCCTGGTGATCCCCTTGCCTCAGTCTTCAGGGTTCTGGAACTAGAAGTGTGGGCAACCAGGCTGGGTTTCCGAGGGATGAGTAATAGAGAATGGATAAGGAGAACATGAATGACATAACCTGGGAATTAAATCAGAATTCAGATTGTGTTGCCTGTTGACAATAAATAAAAACCAGGAATTGAATCTTTAAACTGTATTTTATTCAGAGAGTTGGCAATCTGGGAGGGAAATCTGCTCTCCCCAAACCACCCCATTAGCGTATTACAGGGAACCAGAACAGAGGCAATAAATCAATCCAAAGTTCAGTCCCTCTTGTCTCTCTGGCCAGGCAGTTGGCCTTGACTCTGAGAGTCCACTTTTCTTTCATAATCATCTGTTTGGTTTCAGAGGGTTGAATACACTCTGGCCACCCAGTTTTGCATTCTCCCTGAGCCTCCATTTGGATGACATCCAGTTTGAAGGTCAACTTGGAGCAAACAAACAAACCATTAGCAGAGTGTATATGTTGAATTGCTACCAATGTATACATTCAGAATCTTCCCTACAAAATGAAGCAATGAAGGTGGTCTTAAGATTCATGCTACACAATACAGAATAAAAAGGGCTCCATTTTCTCCACTGTCAGAAGTGGTAGGAAGTTGGTTTGGCTGGAAGATAACACTTGGTATACGGAGTAATCGAAGTCAATTTTTGGAATGGCATCTTAGGGACCGATTGTGGAGGACCTTGGAGTTGAGCTTAAGGGAATTTGGACTTTGAGAGCCTCTGAAGAGTTTTTGAACTTAATACAGCTTAAAAGTTAGTATTGGAAGCAGTACATAGAACAGATTTGACTGGCAGAGATATTAATGACAGGAAGACCACTGAAGAACTTACTGTAGTCATTCAGAACATACTTGGGCATGTGACAGTGGTAAGGTATGACTGTCTCAGAGCTGTGGAAATGCCCAAAGCGTAATCATAGATGAAACAGGCTGGGGAATGATGCACAGACTGACACACTCTCCAGAGGGAAGCTGTTTCCCAATGGAGCAGCATTGCAAACGCCTGGAGATTTGCTGATGTCCCTAACGGAGTCTCATGCTACTTATAAAGTGCGTGCTAATGAGCCTGCTGAGTCAGCAACTGCCTTTGATCTGAACATGGATGTGATTGATGGCTAATCTCAGATGTCAACTTGACTGCACCTGGTATCAACTGAAACCCAAGCTGCCAGGCACTCCTGTGGGAGATTTTCTAGATCACATTATTTGAAGCAGGAAGACCCACCCTGAATCTGGGTGGCACCTTCTGGTAGCAGCCCAGGTTAAAGGACGTGGAGGAAGGAAACTGCTCTTGCCTGCCGCCCCCACTCTCATTGGCGAGTCCATCTCTCCGGTCGCTCCCGAACTCCTTCACTGACATTACAGCCTGCTTCTTTGGGATTCCAACATGGACTGAAGACCAGCAGCTCTCCAGGAACCCTCCAGGCCTCCGGGGTCAGATTGGGACTGCAGAGACCCCCAACTCATAGACGGAACAACTACTGCATTCTTGGCCTCTCCAGTGTGAGACGGCCATTGCTGGACTTCTCGAACATTATCCGGTAAGCCAAACCCATGTTGATATTTTCATCCTATCTGTTCTGTTCCTTTAGGGGACCCGGACTAGTTAGTAGACTGCACTTGAAAAGCATGTATCAGGGCAGTTTAGAACACAATAGGGGGAACAGGGGCTGTAGATGGCTCCGCACGTGCACACACCCCACACTGACATCACACACACACAGCTAAAATGGTCTTTTAAAACCTAAAAAAAAAATTAATAAACTAGGGAAACCTGTACAAAGAAGATCACTAACTGTAGAGGATAAATAGTAGTTTCCAGCATCAGCCAATGTAAGTGTAAACTTTTTTTTTCTTCTCCTGTGAGCAAGATCTAAAGTTGTTGGTCTGGACCTTCAGTCTAAGTTTCTTTCTTTAAAATGAGAAGATTGTTATTACTATTATTATTATTATTAATTACATTTTTCTGAAATAGAGTTTCTCTGTGTAACAGCCCTGTCTGTCCTAGAATTTGCTCTGTAGACCAGGCTGGCCTCAATCTCACAAAGATCCACCTGCCTCTGCTTCCCGAGTGCTGGGATTAAAGCTGTGTGACACCATTGCCCTGCTAGGCTTTTTTCTTTTTCCCTTTTTTTTAAACATGGATTTAGGGATTAAAATCCGATCTCTGAGCTTGTGTGGCCAATGCTTTCACCCACTGAGCCATTTCCCTGGCCCAATTTTTGACACTTCTGACTGAATTCCTAAAAACAATTTTTCTTTCATTTATTTCACCCAACACTAAAAATAAATCTGAGAGATATTTTCTTTTTCTTGGCTGGATTTTATTTTATTTGAGACAGAATTGGGTTATGTATCTCAGGTTGTCCTCAAATTCCTGATCTTGGGCTTGGGGATGTAGCTCAGTTGGCAGAGAGCTTGCCTCATAGGCACAAGGGCCTGGTTTCGATACTCAATGGTTGGTCACTCCCATAATGGGCTCACCACTACTCAGAGGGGCCTCATTCTGCCTGGCCAGTTGATGCTGTAATACACAGGACCCACAGCTGAGTAAGACTGTTGCTGACCATTTTCTCCCAGCATAGCACCTTCCAGCACTATGAGGCTGGCCCAGAGGGAAGAAGATACTAGACTAGCTCAAGCCTGATTCCTCTATCAGACAAGGCATGTGTTACCTTCAGCAACAGGGTTTTACCATCTAGTCCTGGTGGGCAACCAATATCTGTTGCAGTTGTGCATACTGTTTTAGGAGGCCTCAGAGACCTCCCTGACAACCTTTTTTTCCCCCTTGAGACAAGGACTGTTCTAGTTCTGTTGATTGTCAACTTGACTTGACCCAGAGTTTTTGGAGATGACAGCCTCAACTGAGGAACTGTCTACTTCATATTGGCCTGTGGGCATGTTTGTGGGAGATGGCCTTGATTGCTAATTGCTGTTCGAGGGCTCAGTCCACTGTGGGCAGTACCATTCCCTTGGCTGTAAAAAAAAAGTTGCCTAAATTGGGCAGTAGTGGTACACACCTTTAATCCTAGCACCCAGGAGGCAGAGGCAGATGGATCTCTGAGTCAGAGCTAGCCTGGCCTACAGAGTGAACTCCAGGACAACCAGGGTTACACAGAGAAACCTTGTCTCAGAAAAAAGAAGAAGAAGAGGAGGAGGAGGAGGAGGAGAAGGAGAAAAGAATGGAAGCTGCCTAAACATGGGTCTGCGAGGCAGCCAATATTCTTCCATGGTTTTACTTCAAGTTCTTGCTTGAGTTCCTGCCCTGAATTTCCTAGAAGTGTGAGCCAAATAAACCCTCTCCTCCCTTACGCTGCATTTGGTCAGTGTTCTATCACAGCAACAGGAAGACAACTAGAACACAGTCTCATATGGAGCCCAACAATCCTGCCTCTGCCTCCTGAGTGACCTGTGCTAAGTAGTCCAGCGGAAACTTTAGTTTTGAAACAGGGTCTCACTATGTAACCCTGGCCTGGCCCAGAGTTTGCTAGGTAGACTAGGCTGGCCTCCAGTTCACAAAGATCTGCTTGCCTCTGCCTCTCTCTTCCAAAGTGCATCACTGTGTCTGGTTCTTACATCAACATTTACAAAAATGTTTATTTGCATGTGTTTTATGCTGAATTTATCCTTGTGCTTCAAGTTTTTGTTTCTTTAGTTTCTTCTGGGATGTCTTTTTCTTCCGTGCAGCCTCTTCTTCTGGCGTAGGAAGAGTTTGTTCTTTTCAGTGAAGATCATCTCAGTGTGGTAGGGAGTTCAGGTATGGGTTGACCTGAACGTGAGCTTTGTCAGTGTGGTGAAGCATCAGGAGTGTTTTGCTCACTTGGATGTATTTGATGACTGGAGAATCTGTGTCTGAGTCCTCACACTTAGCACTAGTCTCTGCATTTTGAAGCATGTGCACTTAAAATTCAGTACTCTTTTTGGGTCACCAATCCTGCACCAGGTTTCATCATTTGGCTTCCAGCGCCATCATTATCCTGCCAGAATGGCACACACTGCTTCACTACAGTGAAGTCTATCAGATACTTAGCCTTTCAGATAATGTGTACACTGGCCTGGCAGCTTCACTGATACTCTTAAAGTGAGCGTGAATATTTGCCCTCTTGTTTAATGTGACTTTGTAGGGGTTTCTGGGAAAGTAGTGAATCATTTTCACAGGTCAACCTCAAACAGCTCACAGTAAGAGGGAATCAACATTTGTTTTTTCTTGAGACAGGGTTTCTCTGTGTAGCCCTGGCTGTCCTGGAACTCCCTCTGTAGACCAGTCTGGCTTCAAACTCAAGAGATCCACCTGCCTCTGCCTCATGAGTGCAGAGATTAAAGGTGTGTGCCACCATTGTCCAGTGGGAATCAAAATTCTTAATAAGCTCTCCAGATGTTGATTTTGTACATAAATGACTGAGACCCTGGGCTGGCTGTGGTGGTGAACGTCTGTAATCTCAGTACTTAGGAGTCAGAAGCATAAGTCTGAGGCCATCTGACCTATATAGTAAGTTCCAGTCCAGCCATGGCTACACAGGAAGAGCCTGTCTAAAATAAATAAATAAACAAACAACAAATAAATAAATAAATAAACCATCCAAACTTCTTACTTATTTTCTTTATTTGTAAGGGAAGAAAAAGAGGAAAAAACATCTCAGGGCTTGAGAGATGGCTCTCTCAGTGGTTAAGCACATATACTGCTTTCCAGAGGACCCGAGTTTTGTTCCCAGCATCCACACATGAGGTAGTTCATAATCACCCATGACTCCAGCTCCAGGGGAATCTGATGCCTCTGACTTCCAAGGACACTAGTACTGGAGTATAACTGTCCCTGGAAACGAAATCAATCTTGAGAGGTTTTTTATTTGACTGCCAACGGCCCCTGGGCCTCAGCGCCCTGGCCCACTCTTTTCTAGTGTACTGGAAAAACTTGTTTGTGAAAAGGAGAAAAAGTATCACTGCCTGGGGGACGAGCCTCCAGACAGACCAGGGCTCAAAAGGGAACCCACGGCATCAGTGCACATTAGGACTTTTCTATCTGAGGGAGTTAGGGAAAAAGACACTTACATGTTCTCTTGATGGCTTCCGTCTTTATTATTATTATCCTCTGTTCTTCTCATTCTCCTTCAGTATACTTTTTTCTACAGATTATAAACCCCAACAAAATCCTTCAGGCAATACAGGAATCACAATGTGGTTATATTCCATTTTTCAAGTGAATGATTATAATGAATACAAAACAAATAGTAAAAAAAACAGCATGTTTTCCATATCCCTTACATGATCAAACATTTTATGTATTACAGGTGAAAAACAAATTATCCCAAGGATCCATGTACATTCATACCCAAGCAACTTGTTATACATTAACCGTGTGGGCAAGCAAGTTATTCTCCTCAGTTAGATCTTTTACTGGCAGGCTGCATTTTGCAGTTACAAAGAAAGGGCCAACTACTTTGTTACTGATCTTGAAAGGTAATCTTATAAGGAATCTTAAAGGAATCACAAACCTAAACTTTTATATATGAAAAAGAATCAGTGAGGAGATTTTAAATCGTTAGGATACATACCTACTCATCAATAGTTTCTTATATCAGGAGATTGAGGGCAAAAATGGGTATAAGGAATTAATCATCACTTTTGGTCATCAATCAATCCTAGCAAAGAAAGGTGCATCAGCTAGTAATAATTGGGCTGCTTTGTTCTTGTTCCCTGACTTTAAAGAGCTCTGTGTTCAACTATGTGCCTTTCTTAAACTGTATTATTTTCTTGTTTTTTTCTAACCTCAAAGCTATTTGACAAAAACATCTTAGTCTAACTTTAAGTTATTTTCAAAGCTTTGTTTCAGCTATGATGTACTCTGAAACCTGTGAACACATCTCCCAACATTAGGGTTAAAAGAATTTAAGCTAGCTGGACTAACTGGTACTCAGTTGTTTTTCTTAATCATTAACCTAAACCACAGTCTACATGGCTCCTCAATAGGAACTCATGTGTTGTAGCAGTGTGACACTTCCTTGTTTATATTTTTAATCATCAAAACTCTATTTAAACTAACATTATTATTATCATTTATATAGTACAACTTAGGAAGAAATTATCTTCATAATAATCCACAGGTAAAAATGCCCAGTAGAATGGGATGTTTCCACGAGACAAACACACTACATTACAGGCAGTGGGATCTCCCACACCCATTCATACCATGCCAGATACTAGAGAAAGACAGCAGCAGCAAATATGTAAAGACACAGCAGAAGCAAAAGACATTCTGTGGTCTGTGGTCTACAGGCCTTGTCTCTATCTGAGGCTCACCCATCAGGGATTTTCCTCCTGGTGGGCTGACACCCTGAAGTCAATTGCCACCTGCTGCTCCCCTGACATGGCCACTGGCAAAAAAGGACTATTTCTCTTGCACAGACATATTCCAAGTACTGAGACTGTAATGACAAAAATCATCTTTGTTTCTCTAGTCTAGTGGCTCTCCTTAGACCTCCAGGATAGCCCACAGATTGGTCAAGATCATGGTGTGTCAAACTTGTACTGGGATTATAGGCATGTACCACTGTGCCTGACATGGCTCTTCTTTTGCTAGCGACATAATCTTGGGAAAATGATTTGTGTGTGCTTCTGTTTCCTTATTTGTAAAACAAGGATGAAAAAATATCAGTCATTTAAGAGGCACGGTGGCACACGCCTGTAATCCTAACACTGGAGAAGCTGAGATAGGTGGGTTATTATGAGTTTGAGGTGAGCCTGGGCTACATGGTGAGTACCAACCAGCCCAGTCAAGACAACATAACAGGATGTTATCTAAGACAAAAGAAACAAAAAACAACAATCAGGTAAAGGTGAGGGTAATGCCAGTCCTTTATCTACTGTGGATGGCATTCTTCCGGGAGCCAGGCAAAAGACCAGGCAATCATTGTCCCAATAACAATGATGCCTGACCCTTGGAGCTCACTGTCTGTGTGCCAAGGCTGCTTTAATGCCCCAGGAGTGCTATCTTCATTTCGATCAGCAGGCAGGCAAGAGTGCAGACAGGAAGGGCTGTGGGGAGCAGGAGGGTGGAAGGAAGTGTGGCAACCCCGTGAAGGCAGAGGTTAAGGGCACCGTGCCTGCCAGCTGGGGAAAGCTGTGACTCATGAGAGGCCCTGGTGTCACTGTGTGTCTACTGGGAGGGGAAGGGTGGGTTCCAAGTGGGACTTGGCATTTGTCTTTGCACAAATGTGTCTCTGACAGGATGGTGTGTGTGTGTGTGTGTGTGTGTGTGTGTGTGTAACTATAAAAAATAGATGTGTCAACCCTCCCCCACACAAATTTGTGTAATCTAGGGCTTGAACCCAGGGCTGTATGCATCTAAGCAAGTGCTCTACCATGGCATTCTACCGCCAGCCCCAAAGAAAAATCCTTGAGAGCGGGTTCCCCGAAGTAAAGAAATTTAAGCCATTACAGAGACTAGCTAGCAAAAGGACCAAGTCCTGGGACAGGTTTGCCGGTGCCAGCCAAAGTCCTCGCCAGAAGGCCAGGTGGCAGCTGGAGACACGGCCAGCCTTCCTTCTGTTCTCCTACACTGCTTCCCTCCTCCCTCCCCTTTTCTGTTCTCCAGTTGTCTGGGGTCAGGGTTAGGAGTGGGTGAGGATGTGTAGGTACAGCTGCACTTGGCTAGTAACACGACAGCCATATGAATTGCTGTTGTGGTGCTGGTGATGGAACCTATGGCCTTGGGCAAGCCTTCCCACTAAGCCACCCCCACTGCCTGGACACGTGACCTTATTAAACAGCGTTCAAGAAGGATTGACTTCTGATTGTCCTACTTTTTTTTTCAGAAGGAATTATATCTTTTTGCTTTTGCTTCTCCTCTAAGGCAACAGCAAAGCAAAAGTAATCAGAGAACCAGCTATGAGGACTACGGCCCCACAGCCCTGCACAGGGAGATCACTTAGTCTTTTGAACTCAGTTCCAGATCAGTTCTGTTTTCGCTCAGCGAACGCCCGCCAGTTCTTGGTTTCTACTTCTGCAAATCCACCCCTCACCAGATTGCACCCTGCATGAACAAAAACTTAGTAATTTGATAGAATTCACATCAAGTTATCCTACAAACCTGGGTTTTAACTTGGCTGGGAGGTGTATGCCTGTATCCCAGCACCAGGGAAACTGAGGCAGAAGGATTGCCATTTATGAATTTGAGGCCAGTCTAGACTATATGACAAGATCTTGATCCCTGACTCCAGTGTACAAACAAAGAAAAAAATCCAAGTCTGAAACGCCCAACAACCCCTCTACAAAACAAAAACAAACCTGTGTCCAAGTTCTGGTTTAGCCATACATCTTCATCAAACTACTCCTAGGTGGAGGAACTTCTTGATATTCCAGACTTTGAATTTTAGCCCAACAATAGCTACAATGGGCGGTGCCTACAATGCCAGCACTCCAGTGGCAGAGGCAAGAGCAGTTCAGAGCAAGCCTGCACTACATAAGTGAGTTCAGCACAACAGATACTGTTTGCCTCCCCCACCCCCACACTATTTTGGGTGGGTGGCAGACTAGGCAGTTACTGTGTAGAACACATGTCTTCACTTTTTTCATAATAATATTAAAACTTGATAGTTTGTTTTTTGAAAAGGTCTTGCCCTGTAGCTCAGGCTGGGCTGGAACTCATGATTCTTCTCCTGCCTTAGTCTCCCAAGTGCTAGGATGATGACCCAAAAAATATCAGTGACTGCCTGCAGCAAGGCCTGGGAAGAAGTTACTGATTCACAGAGGGCTGCCTTTTACTGTATGCAAGGCAAACCTCAGCGAAGGCTTTCATTTGTTTCATTTGTCTTTTAGATTCTTTCAAAAGCTACGTTTATTTATTTTTGTGTGTCTGTGCATATGTGTGTGAGTGTACACATGTGTGGAAGTCAGAGAACAACCTGTCAGTTAATTTTTTCCTTCCACCCCATCCCGTGGGTTCTGGGGATTGGATTCAGGTTGTCAGGCCTGTCTTTATCCACTTTCCCATCTCTTCAGGTTTTTTTGTTTTGTTTTGTTTTGTTTTTGGACAGGGTTTCTCTTTGTAATTCTGGCTGTTCTGGAACTCTCTATGTAGACCAGGTTGGCCTCAAACTCACAAAGACCTGCCTGCCTTTGCCTCTTGAGTGCTGGAATTAAAGGCACTCACCACCATGCCTGACCATTTTTTTTTTTTTTTTTTTTTTTTTTTTATTTTTTTTTATTTATTTTTTTTTTTGGTCAGGGCCAAGGATTGAACCCAGGGCTTTGTGCTTGCTAGGCAAGCGCTCTACCACTGAGCTAAATCCCCAACCCCCTGACCATTTTTGAAATAAGCAATACATACATACATACATAATTTTAAGGGGAAGAAATATCTCATCAGTCCCAGAATTCCTACCCAAACCCTTCTCACTTTGAGGTTACAAATGTATCTGTGATTAAAGCTTTCATTTTCTTTTCAGTGATAGAAATAGAGGTAGTTTATCAGGAAAAATGTTTAAAAGATACCTAAGGGTGGAAATGGGCTAATGAGCTAGGAATATAGACACGCAAAGATGATTTTAGCTAGGTGTGGTGGCGCACGCCTTTAGTCCCAGCACAAAGAGGCAGAGGCAGGTGGATCTCCATGAATTAGTTTCAGGACAGTCAGGGAGAGACCCTCTCCAAAAAAAAAAAAAAAAAAAAGAAAAAAAAAAGAGTTGATTTTATAAACTGCAAAAGGCTGGTGACACTTTAGTACATATCTGTGTATAGATGATTAAGCATTACTAAATGTTAAACATTTAGTTGGTCCCTGTCATAGGGAAGAACTGGAAATGACAGCTAAATGTTTACCTCTCCTTAGTTCTCACACCTATTTCCCACTCCTTCCAACTGGCAGGTGTGTTCATAAAGTTTTGTGGCCTTTTTGTCTATTGAAAACGTGTATTTGGGCTGGGCATGAAGCTCAGTGGTAGAGTGCTTACCCAGTACACATGAGGCCCTGGGGTTGACCAAGAGCAACAAAAGCTGCATGTGCTTATAGACAGGCATGCTGTTTGATGAGGCTGCACGGGCCACACTTGAGCAATGAGTCAGTCGGCAGCATTGCCAGCAATAATATTCTGTCTTACGAGCCTTCCCCAGGGCTACACTAACTACCTGTGTTAGAGGAGCTGCTAATGCTATTTATATAATTATGAGAGTGTTTATACTGATCTTAATTCTTGGTTTTCAACATTGGGGCAACTTGGCACAAATGGGAATTTAGTATGTTATGACATTTCTACAAGTGTTTAAAGATGCATTGCATGCAAACTTTGAAATCCAAGATTAATATGCTTTTAAACAATATAGATATTTGACTGATAACAGTGTAATTGCAAGTATCACCGAGTACAGTTCTTGTGGGTGTGTGGTGTGTGCTTTTGGACTTGTGTGTACATGTTTATAAATGGGGTGGGGTCTGATATGTGTAGCTAGAGGCCAACACTGAGTGTCTTCTTCAACAGCTTTTTTACTTTTGAGGCAAGGTCTCTCCCTGAACTCGAAACTCACTGGTTTGGCTAAACTGGCAAGCCAGCAAGTCCCAGGGGCTAATTTTGGTTTCCAATGGCAGAATAAATTTTTATATTAAATATACTAATTGTGGGACTGGAGAAGTGCCTCAGTGGTCAAGAGCATTCACTGTTCCTCCAGAGGACCTGGGTTTGATTCTCAGCACTCAAGGGGATCCTATTGTGCTGAAATTCCAAGAGTGTGCCTCGCTGGCTTCTTACATGTCTGTTTGGGATTAGAATTTAGGTCTTCATGCTTGCACGCCAAGCATTTAATGACTGAATCATCTCCACAGTCCCAAGACATAATAAAATTTATCTAGAATACAGATTTTATAACAGACGTTTTCAAATCAGTTAACACCATGGCATCCTAGATAACTTGCTAATTTTATCTGTTTATGAGATGGTCACAGGGACTGATGTGATGTTTCTAGCCCCTTAAAATTATTTATGTGTGTAATTATTATTTTGTGCTCGTGTGTTTGCCACAGTGCTTCTGCGGACACCAGAGGACATCTTTTGGGAGTCAGTACTTCCGCCATGTGGATTCTAGGATTGAACTTGGATCATCAGGCCCAGTAGACCCTTATCTGTGAGCCAACTTGTCCTTAGGTATATTTTTTTTTATTTCTATGTTTTTCAATTGTTGCTGGGTTTATTTTTTATGGCCCACCATTTATATTGTCTAGATTTTACACACACACACACCCCCACCCTTACTGTGTGATACATAATATACGATCTGAGAGTTAATCTGTTTGTCTTAGTCAGTGCTATCATAGGAAGTGGGAACCCTAAGCAAACTCTGCCATCACAACCTCCATAGTTTGTGAATTTATTGCTACTGAATAAATTCTGACACATGGAAAGACACAAATACGTTTGTCTATGTTTCTGACATAGCACACTCATGACATTTTCTATTTATTTATTTATTTTTTGAGACATGGTCTCCCTATATAACTCGGGCTGGCCTTAGCCTTCCCAGGCCTGGAATTACAGGTATGTACTTCCATGCTTTGCTTGTACATTTTAAGCCACAGATACAGGTTTCTCAAGACTATATACTAATTTTGGTTCCCAATGGCAGAATAATTTTTCCATTAATTATGGAATTAATTAGCAACTATGGGACTGGAGAGATGGCTCAGTGGTCAAGAGGACCTGGGTTCAATTCTCAGCACACATGAGGAATGCAATGCTTTGTCTGTCCCCTGCAGGCACTGTAAACACATGATAAACAGGCATACATGCAGGCACAACACCTACACAAAAATAAAAGCCAATCTTAAAAAGTTTGAAAAACAGCAGTTGTTCTGAGCAGAAAACAACTTTTTCTCAGGGCTTCAGAAGCACCGGAACCAATTTCAAACTGAAGTTAAAATTTACAATGGTATCTACGATTTTTGCTTTATTTTGAATTAAGAGTTGCCCTACCATTTGGTTATGACTTTCGAATTTTAGATACTTCTTCCATTTTCATTGGCTACTGACTTGACTATCACAATGATGACAAAGTCTGTCCAAAGAGCAAGTTCAGTGTCATTATGCCAGCAACAAGTCACTGAAGCTATCTAGCTGGATTATGAATGTTACTCAACCAGTGTTTTGTCCTCCTTGTTAACAAATTATAGAGGTGCCTATAGGAAACTGGCTGTACCAGAGGGCACTATTGGGTCATGGTGACTGGTATGGGGCAGGGTAGGAGGAAGTGTCTTTTGTTGCTGTAGGAGATGCAAGACTTACCCACTATGGAAAAATGTAACACCTAAATATGGAGAGACTGGGCATGTGAGCTGGGTAAAGGTACTTGCCACCAAGCCTGATGATCTGAGTTCAACCCCCAAACCCACATGATGGAGAGAGACAACAGATTTTACAAAGTTGTCCTCTGGCTATGGCATCTGAACCCATTTAAAAAAAAAAGAATGGAGAGAAGGGTTGGGAATGTAGCTTAGTAGTAGGAGACTTGCCTAAACATCCACACTGCCCTAAATTCAACCTCTAGTGCTTCAAACACAAACAAATGAACAAACACAAGAAGAGAGATTCTGTTTAAGATTCATAGCTGATACTGGAAGCTACTGAATATTGTGGAATTCTCTGTGATGTGTGAATAGCTAATCAGGAGGCAACTCATAAACATAAATAATTAAGTCATGGTCAGGGAAAGATCTGAAAAAAATCAGCTTTGAAACACTTCATGGTGCCATTTAGGTAAGGGTAAGGGTGAAGCCAGCGTGGCAAGGGACTCAGGAATGTCCCTTAGGGCCAGAGAGCAGCAAAGATCCTCATTAGCTGAGAAGGTGTGAGCATTTTGAGGAAATAAGGTGGTTTGTTTCATCATTATAGAAGCATCAGAAATTGCATGTAGTGATTGACAGTGAGATCACTTCACCAGAGACCAAGGGAGAGGTAGGAGGGGAAATGGCAGTGTTCTCTTAAAAACCTGTCTCAGCACAAGGTGGATTGTTCCTAGAGTAAAGTTCTTTGGTCAAAGTACAGTTTTTAAAAGAAAGAGCTGCAGGGAAGAGTTGATAGGGGTTTTGTTTTCTTTTGTTGAGGCAGGGTTTTATTCTAGTCCTGGCTGACTTGGAACTCATCCTGTGGCCTGGGGTTGGTCTTGAACTCACCAAAGTCATCCTACATCCGCTTCCCAAGTGCTGGGAATTAAGGTATGAGCCCCCACACCTGGCAAGATGTGAGATCTTGAAAGGCTTTTTTTGGTTGGTCTTTCTGTCATTCTTAGGGGACATCTTACATTAGGCCTGAAAAATCTTCTTATCTTTCCCCTATTTAAGCTGCTATTGTGGACCTTTTTTTTCCCCCTCTGAAGTTAGTGATGGAATCCAGGCCTTTGGAGTGCTAGGCAAGTGCTCTACCATTGAGCTATATCTAGAGGTATGGGTCAAATGTGTAATTCTCAAATGTCTGCATTCGGTTTCTGATGTGTTCTGGAAAGGCACAACTGTCTTTCTTGATCTTAGCCTCCAAACCTTCGTGTCTTTTTGTTGTTGTTGACACAGGGTCTTATTCTATAAAGCCAAGTCTGGCCTGGAACTTGCACTGTAGATCAGGCTGACCTGGAACACTCAAGATCCTCCTGCTTCAACCTCTCTAGCGCCTTTCTGGGTTGAGGAGTTTTCCACGTCTGTTTTCCCCATCCCCCATCATTAGACTTCAGCGTCTTGGGTATGAGACCCTATTGTGGTCCAACGGCAAGGACAATAGGCTGCCGGCATAGGCTTCCTCTGAAGTCTAAACTAAAGCTTCTGAGTTTACTTTAATGGGTATTAAGTTTTTACCTAAAGAGTGTGAAGGATAATTTCCTCTTACAATTGAACAGGAAGAAACCATTTTTCTCTGCAAACCAGCTCCTACATTTATTTCCTTGTTCTGGTTCTTACTAAGGCAGATTTCAAAAGGAAAGCTCACTCCGTTCCAAATCACTCCTCCTGTGTAAACAGACACAATACCTAAGTTGTTTGTAATCGACCATTACTTTAAGACCATCTAAAATAAATCTGAATTACACATTTTAAGGGTTCGTAATATCTTTTAGAAGTAGTAGGGCATATTCATCATACGTTAATACGGTAATAAAATCAAGCCCTACTGTTTGAGGAAGAGTTGACTAACGCTTTCGGAATTCCGAAACCTTCACAAGACGACGCCTAGCATTATGTTGGCCGCTGACACAAACACACGCTCCGGCCCGAATCTTTAAACTCTGGCTCGCACCCAAGGACATCGAGGGAAGCATCCCCGGCCGTGGCGGCCCACTCCTCTTCGGATCTCTTCGGGGAAACGTTCAGGAAGCGGGGTGAGTTCGGCTAGGGGCATTCTGCCCGCACTGTTTACATTGTGTCTCCGGCCGAACCACAACTCCCAAGATGCACCGCGGTTCTAAAGCCCCCCCGGAGGGGAGGCTTCCGGTTTAGACCAGCACGGCTGCGCACGGGGTGTGGTCTTACTGGCTCGACCCGCCTCGTGCGATGCGCGTCACGGCGACGCGCGGGCGCAGGGGCGGGGAGACGCGGCGGCGGCG